GGGTGTCCCGTGGCCCGCAAGGGAGCTCTCGGACTACAGGCCCTATCATCCACAACGCCCCCCCCCGCAGAGCGTGTCTCTGGGCGTTTCGTGTTTGTTTGTGGGCCGGTGGTCCTTCGGATGTGGGGGGGGGCGGCGAGGGAGGCGCGCGCGGCCAACCTAAGATTGGGGCGCTTGCCCGTGAATGGCTGGACCGGGCGGCTCTCTCCAACTTCCCACTATGTGTGTGGGAGTGTGATGGGAGTTGTAGTCCTCTCAGGGATAGCTCCTTTGAACAGTTTTTCTCTGAATGTTCCCCTTCCCCGTGGGTCCGACTGCATGACCTCTCTCTCTCACACACACACACACATATTACATGCGCGCGCAAAGAGAGAGAGAGAGAGAATACAGAGAAGGTGTTCAGATCCTTTGGGGTGACAGCTCCTGCGAGTGATAGCTGACCAGGAGCCGCCCATTGCCCCCCCCCCACTCAAGGAGACCCATGTCTGCAGTGGCTGGGAAGGGGGACGGGATCTTGACCGGGTTCCTTTCCCCTCCTGGGAACTGGCTAGATAGTGATGGGAGTTGTAGTCCACCCACTTGGACTGCTCCCAGTTGGGGGAGAGGATTCTGACAGCCTTCTCCCTGGCCAGGAGCCTGTCAGATGCATTGGGTGGCAAAACTCTCCTCCTCACCCATTGCAGGAAGAGATGGGAGTTAAATTTCCCAGGCTACCTAGAGCGTTGCAGACGAGGGGTAGGGGCTGATGTTGGAGAAGCAGAGACCTCCAAAAAGTGGGGAGGCTCTCTTGCAAAGGGGAGAGACATGACCCAATGTCTGTGGGTCTTGGGGTGGGCTGGGAAAGGAGGAGGTTGCAGAAATAGGGGCGGCAAAGGTGAAGAGGTTGCTTTGGTTTGACTCCTCAAGGCCTCTGGTGGAACTAATTGAGCTAACAAGGGCTGTGGAATCAGAGAAGGCCTTACAAGATATTTTAAAAGGAGGCCTGTGCACATAAGCAGGTGCATGAGGAAGCAAAAGGGCACTGCATTGTACGAACAAAAGGTGCCGTGGGGTGCATCTCCTGTGCATCGGTGCTTGGAAGAATTAAAACCTATGACAAAGAGACTGTGTAAAGCTTGCATCAGTTGCGGATGTTAAGTTAACTGGTTTGCCCAGGCCTGCTTACCTTGGGAGGCAGAGGAGGCCTGGCATTGTTGCAGAGCTGATGCCGAAGGGGAGAACAAGGGAGGTGCAGGAAGGAGAATGAGAATATGCTGAAGCAAGGTCAATTCATGAGAGCGTCTTGCCATAGAGCGGATGATAGGCGGAGTGCCTATCAAAAAACTGTATTGAAAGGGGCATGTGCTGCAGTGGGTTTGTGGCGGGGGGGTGGAGAAGGGGAAATCTGGCTTCTTAGCAGAGGAAGGATTGGTTTGTAGTGTAAGAGAGGAATTGGGAAGAAGGTCTTTGTGATGATGCTTAGGGAGGAGGTGGTGTTCTGTGCCTGTCTGGGTGAATGAATGGCTGCGTTGCTATTCTTTTGTATTGGAGGCGTGAGGAAGGCGGTGGGGGAATCTCGTGACAAAAAGGTAGCTCTGTGGGGATCAAGATAGGGCGGTTGTATGTTCACGAGTGTAAGTGGGGTTGGCACTTTGTGTAAATGTAAATGTTTGGAATATACGTGCAGGTTAAGAGGGTGTTTGGGGAAGGAGTGCAATAGCAGCGGGGTTATTTGGTTGGAATGTCTCAGGAGAAGGAACGAAGCGTTGGTAGGTGTGATTGTCGAGGAGAAGGACCATGACAGCTTTGTTTCAATATGTGCCCAACATCAGATGTACCTCATGGCCAATAGTGAGTTGCTTCTAGTATAGTCTGTGTGTTTCGGGCATGGATCAGATACTTAACAATACTGCTCTAGCAAAGTGTAAAATACATTTCCTAGTATATCTTGAAATGTATGGTAGGAACATACCCACTATGGTGTAGTGGGCAGAGTAATGGACTAGGACTCAGGAGACGTGGGTTCGATGCCCTGACTCTGCCATTGAAACTCACCGGGATGGGGCTGGAATCAGTAAAACCACTTCTTAACACCTCACATTGTGAAAACCTTATTCAGGTCACTGTAAGTCAGCTCCGACTTGATGGCATGTAACAACAACAGATAGGAAATGGTTAAGAAACACACATGCACTGATTTGTTTGTAAATACAGACAGATCTGCATCTTGCTTTTTTGACAAAAGTGTGGTTTAACAGTGCCAGACAGGTGGTGTGCTGAGACCAGGGAGCAAACAATGGGATAGACAAGCATAAGAAGGTTTGGTTTTTGCACAAGAGGATTATCCCTCAGAGCTCTAAGACTTGTGTCAAGCAGTCCTGGTGTTTTTCTGTTCCTCAAAAGTGACTGTTACATTAACTTGGAAACTGAGATGGTGGCTGAGGGGTGGAGAGTTAGATAATTTGTTTATCGTTCTCAGTGCAAGACTGCAGCATTTCTATCCATGTATGCAGCTCTGTGGCTCAATAGTCTCCATTGAGTAGTTACTCTTCTTTAGCCTTTGTTGGAAGCAAAATTTGGGATCTGTATTAAATGCTGCAGCTGCACTTGGAAAAAAATTGCTAAAGATTAGTTGAGAAATTTGATAATTTTTTGGAGTAATCATGGTGTGTACATCCTGAAGCTTGAGTTTGGCTTCAGTTGCCTTAGAAACGGGGTGCAATTAAATCATTAAATAAAATTAATTCCTGGAACTCTCCTGCCTAGAAACAGATTCCATGTGAGATATAAATAGAGTGGATCAATCTCAGGTGGTGGTGGTTTTGTATAATAATAATTCTGTCCCATCATGTTGGTTCTGACTTATGACAACATCTTCCCAGGGGGCTTTGAGGTACATATTTGGAAGTGATTTCCCATTCCCTTCCTCTGGTGAATTGGGACCAAGGTAATGACAAATTCAGCCAAAATCCTTTTATGTAGTTATGCCAGCACAAGGGAAATGGTGAACATTGTTGATAATTAACAAGCGCTGTTTGGATTCCTGGTTGTGCAGCAAGCCGCAAATTAGTTAATGAGGAGTCGAAGCAGGGATTGTTAACTAGTCATGATTTGCTGCTGGAAGTTACTCTGCTTCTCTTCCAGTGATGTAACTGCTCAACAGAATTTTGGCTGTAGTTTCTTCAGGATGAACGCAGCTAAAATTTTCAGCTTAGGTCAAACCAGGCTTCAGATCTGGTCTTGTTGGGAAACTGTGTTTAGATTAGTAAAATTGTTCAGGTAATTCACAGCATGTTAAGAGAGAAGGAGAGGAAGCTGTGGTGCAAATGGAAGAATAAAGCTCTTATTAAATGAAGATATTTACATCTGAATTGGACCGTTGATTTTGTAGTTAGAGCAGCAGCCTTCTGTGCAGAAACAATAAAGGAAGAACAAACACCTATCTAGGGTGAGGAAGCCTAGTGTGCGTCCTTTCACCCAAGTACTGTAAATAGATGACATTTCATATTTCTTGAGCACAGTTATATTGAAAAAGAACATAAAGCCTTAATGACACTGTATCTGGTAGAATGTGAAGGCTTCAGCTTTTGTGCAGGCAGACTTACCAATAGGGGAATACAGTGGTGCCTTACTAGACGATGATAATCCCTTCCACTGAAATCGAATGTTTAGCGAAATCATTGTCTAGTGAAAAGCATTTCCCCATTGGAATCCATTGAAACCTGTTTAATGCCTTTCAATGGGGAAGAATCGTCGTTGTCTAGCGAAGATCGGCCATAGGAAAGCTGCTTTGCGAACAGCTGTTTAACTCGCTGTCTTGCAAAGCTTAGGTCCTGAAAACACCTGTTTGCCAGTGCAGACGGAGCTCTCAAAATCGTTGTCTAGCAAAAATTGGTTTGCAAAGCAGGGACCAAACATTGTCCAGCGAAATTCCCCCATAGGAATCTCTGTTTTGCGAATCGCTATAGCGATCGCAAAAAGCCAATGTTTAACAAAAAAACCTGTCATACGGGGTAACTGTCTAGCGAGGCACCCCTGTACATGTTCTTTGTGTTTTCTTGTTTAGCAGGAATAGAATGTGGTTTCCTGATGACTGCTTCTTTTTGCTTATATTGCCCACAATTGCAAAAAGAAGAATGTAAATGTTTGGGCAGTGTCTTTGAGTCACTGGGGACAAAATGCTTGTTGGTCTACTGGTGGTTAGCATGTTTTTGGAATGAAGCGGTGAAACACATTTTAATGATATAGTTTTGCATGTTTTGGATGCAAAACTTGGGAGGCGTTTCACTGGTTTTTTATCTGGACTTGTGCCAGGTCCGTGTGCTCTGCCAGGAGAATTTTATTCAAACATCTTCGAAGCCTTGTATGGCAGTGTGGCACTTGTGCTTCTTGAAATGCTCTTCTGGGCTCTCAGATGTTTAACTAGCTATTGCCCATATTGGCAGAAATGCACAGCAGATGTATCTAGTTGATAAATAATCACTTCATTCAGTGGTTTCATGTACATGTCATATAGATGTCTGGGGATGGGGAAGATCTAATAGAGTTGTGTGGAACCTCATAGTATAACTGCCGTGGGGCTGAGCTGTAATAATCTGTTAGCTGCTTCTGGAACTGCTCACACATATTTGAACAGAACCCTTGCGGAGTTGAATTCTCAGTCTTTTCTTCTGGAGGCCGGTCCAAAAGGATACCAGGTTGATGTTGTGAAAAGCCAAGAAGGAATCTAGGAGAATTATCAGGGCTTCACTACCTTTGCCTTTCTCCCAACATGGGTTTCTTATGTGGCTGATGGATGCTATTTTTCTAAATCAGCTTTTCATTATCGGTGTTATGTAATTAACTTTGGCTGCCATCCTTCTGGCTTTGGCCTGTCTTCATTTTTTGTAATCTTTCAGATTTAGTTTAGTAAATTG